AAGTAAAGCATAGAGATATACTCCGTAATAATTTACACCACTCAGATTATTTTTTTTATGCTTTCTCTTAATATTACAAATTCCACTAACTGATCAAAGTTGTACCACAGAGTACGGAGGGAGCATTTGTTATAGTTGAAGGAACTAGAATGGAATGAAATGGGTGAGATAAGAGCAGTAAAAGACCAGTACTTATATGCTATATGAACACTGGGTATTAGAATGAGAGAGGAGGGATAATGATGTGATTAACATAATGTGTTACCCAATATTGGGGAGGGTAACAGATGAGTGGAATCAATCACACTCAAGTAAAGGAAATTGTAAGTTATAATGTAAACACTTTAGTGGTCCCATTTCCAGCCATAAACTCCATCACACCAAACATGCTCTAGGAATATAACATATGTAATGCAAAGGCCACACCAACAGGAGACAAACAATAGCTACAAGCAACTCGATATCATGTGGGGAGTAGATAAAGGAACTAAATATCGTAATTTTATATAACATATACAGATCTCGTTTGGTGCCAGGCAGAAAAGGTAGTGATGAGTCTGATGAACATTGTTTATATGAATAGTTGGGTATTACAAATTTACAATGGAATGGAATAGAATGAGAGGGGAGGAAAAATGAAGTGAATAACATAATGTTATCCAATATTGGGGATGGTAACATGAGTGGAGTCAATTACCCCCAAGTAAAGGAAGTTATTCCTATACCCCTCAAAAGTCAAATAACCTTTAATGCAGATACTTTAGTGGTCCCATTTCCAACCATAAAATCCATCATACCAAACAGGCTTCAAGAATATAACATAAGTGATGCAAAGGCCACACCGATGAGAGATAAACTATAGCCAAAAGCAACTAGATATTTTGTGGGGGAAGATTGAGGGGCTAAAGTTCGTAACTTAGTACGACATATACAGGTCTAGTTTGGCATCAGACCAAAAAGAACATGATATTTACCTATGACGGCTATAAACACTTTTGCATATTACTATGGTAGTGGAAAACTGGAAATGGCTAGCAATCAGTAGTGAGAAAACACAGAATTAGATCTCCAACTAAACATGGTGATCCATTCCTATCGACAAACTGAACAAGAGAACTTTTGATCCAGTCTTATAAATGAATCTACTAAAACACCAAACCATATGAGTAAATCAACTCACTAAATATACTCAATTCACTTCAATCAATTGCCACAGCATCAACAAAAGGTTCAACAACAACACTCTTATTAACCGCGATTTAATAATTTTCCACCAAATTTTACAAAATTAACATTAACAAAACTTAATTTAATATAACGTAATTACACTTCATAAATAATTCTCAAAAACCCCCAATTTTTTACTCAAAAACCTAAAATTCACAATTGCAATTAAAACTAAAAAAATCCAACAAATAACACAAAAATCAACAAATCAAATTCAAAAATAAGAGCAATTAGGAAGTAAACCTGAGCAGCCTTATAAGCAACCATAGTTTCTTCAGCAGCTTTCTTCCTCTCATCACCAGACAAAAACTCAGCCAAATAGCGATGATAATCACCCTTCATCTTCAAATAAAACACCTTAGATTCCGTCGCAGTAGCAGACGGAATAAGATGATTATCCAACAACTTAAAAATCGAAGCGCAAACATCGGACAACTCCGATTCAACTTTACAGCGATAAGATTTAACAAGAGGAACATGATCATCATTCCGACGACTCTCCTCTTTCTGCTCAATCGACGACACGATTCTCCATGCAGCGCGTAGAGATCCGATGACGTTTTTGTAAGCGACGGAGAGGAGGTTACGTTCTTCGACGGAGAGTTCGACATCGGCGGAAGAAGTAACGAGATTATCCATGAAAGTGACCATTTCTTCGTAACGTTCGGCTTGTTCGGCGAGTTTGGCGAGGTAGAGCGATTGATCGCGGGTTAGGGATTGGGGTGGAGGAGGAGTTGGTGTGGCCGCCATTGATGAGAGCTTGAGCGAGTGAAGGAGGAGAGAGAAAGTGGAGTGATGATGTGAAAAAAGTAAGGGGGGTTTTGTCAAGTGAAGGGAGGAGGAGTTTTTATAGGATAAGAATGAATGTGAGTGTGAGTATGATGACCAGAGTGGATGGGTTGGGTGTGGGACCGGTGTTTGTTTGCCTTTTACGTGGATAATTGGGAGGAATTTTTTCAGTGTTTTGACTTACTCTCGTTTGATTTTGCGTGGACTTGCTCTCTATTAGGGCCTTATTTGGTTGCACTTAGATAATAGGGGAAATACAAATTCATGGGAAATGCGTTTAATAGTACTTAGTTGATTAGCAAAAATGTAAGAAATGGAAATTCCTAAGGAATTTGGAATTCCTACAAAACATAAGAATTTATTTCCCACCCCCTACCTTGGTCGCTTAAACTTCCCACATGTATTTTAGGTGAAATTACATTACTGTCCTCAATATTTTGGAAAAATAGTTCAAGTTATAATAATACATGGGTATTACAACTAATTCATGGAAAATATGATTTCCTTTATGTCAACCAAACACAATTTTAATATTTTCTAGGCAATAAAAAATCTCATATATTGGTACTTTTTATAGGTATTTAATTCCCATATGCAACCAAACGAGGTCTGGATATTTAAACATGACTACATGACGTTTTTTTTTTTTTTTTTTTTTTGACAGAGTACGTGATGTTGAATTACTAAAAACATGTTTTTTTATTACGAGTAGTATGGAGTATAGACTATGGAGCATCATACATCTTGAATTATACTCTGTAGCTTAATGCACTCAGCACTTTGAACTTTGATTAATCCGCATATAGCATCAACTATTGGTTGGGGATTTGGGGTGCAACATGTATTATTTATGGATATTTTTTGACACTCAAATTGACATTTTTTTTTTATTATTTACAATAAAGGGTAATTAATGTCACGCGTTACACCTTAATCAATAGTTGACGTAATTGAACATAATTGTTTGTTTTCCTAAAATGGATATGGTGCAATATTTGTAAAGCTTTCTTAAAAAATACTTGGTGTAATTTTAAAAAAAGTAGAGAAAGTATATAACATATGTGTGCAACATGAGAGACTAGTTTGTGCCTCTACTTAGGGGTGAAAGTTCGGTTTGCAGTTTGAATTATAACCAAAACAGAATCCAATCCGAATTAATTAGGTTTTGGATTTTTCAACCGAATCCTAACCGTATCAAGATTCACTCCAATCCAAACTAAATCAACTTTATTCGGTTTTTCTAATTAGAATCCAATCCAAACCGAAATTTGTTCCCTTCTTTCGCAACATTCAAACCGAAATCCAAAATTCACCTAAAAATTCTAAATCATTCAACCTTTTCTTATTAAATATATTATTTGTGAGAGAGTGATATATTGAGAAAGGGGAATTAAGACTTAGGGTTTTTTTTATTTTGGTTATATACGAAAAAGGAAAAGGGGTTGGAATACTTTGTAAACGAAAATGGGCTTAATGTAATGGGTCGAAATTTCGGTTTGTAATTTGGTTTTCGTTTTTTTAAACCTCAACCCAAATTTAAATCGTAATCGATATTTTTTAATTTTTGCATACCCATCCAATCCGAATTAAAAAAAAATCCAAACCGAATTACTAATTCGTTTTGGTTTGGTTTTAATCCGAAGTACTTTCACCCTTACCTCTATGCTAGTACTGAAAATGGTTTTGATATGTCAATTACCTAAGGATTTTTTTTTTAACACAAAAGGAAGCATGGATTACTTGGTTAAAGTCCTAATTAAATGAAGCATGAATTACTTGGACAAAACCTTAAATATAAATTATCTTAACGTCCAAAGATTTGTTTAAACCCAAAATGCAAACCTTGAACAGAGTTCAACAAAAGATAAAAGCAGTAGCAAAGTTCATAGTACATATATATCATGATGAAAGTCAACAATTGAAAGTTAGGTAAGAGAAGGAGCACATAGAACTCTAAGATCTAATCATACGCTGCAACGACACTAGTGGGGAACACATTACGTGGTTTAATTGTGACCCAAATTACCCAAGATTAAACGCTAACAAATTTCACTATTTTTATTGATTTTAGGAAAATTTAACAATAACAAATCAACCTTTGCTCCATTCTCCTAAAATGGACTAATCTTTAAATCTTTCTAAAATAAACATAAGTTTGTAATTTTTCTCCCGTAGTAAACCTAGCAGGTCACTTGACTTGTTATACCATGTTGCAATCCACGTGTCATGTCCTCATTGGTTATTTTTTTAAAATATTTTGATAATTAACAAAAATTATTTATTTTAATTTTTAAAATCAAATAATTAAATAAAAAACAACCCTCCCTTTCCCCACCACTGCCAGTGGATGGGGGAGGAGGGCTGGCGACGGTCAGAGTTCTTTGTTTGTTTGTTTTTTTTTTTTTGTTTTTTTTTATTTTTTATTTTGTTAATTTTTTAATTTAAAAAGATAATTAAATGAAAAAAAAATGACAAGTTGTTCAAAATACAAACTTGTATTTGTTTTGAGAAAATTTAAAGGTTGATCCATTTTAAGCGAATGGAGCAAAGGTTAATGTGTTGTTGTTAAATATTCCTTCATTTTATAAGTACACTTCTCATGTTGGTTGTGATCACTGACGGAACTTGGACTAACATGTAACAGGGGCTAGTTGTAATAAGTGAAGTTGGTGTGAATTTAATCATTTATGCCCCAAAAAAGCTGGCAACAGATTGAAAGCAGGAGAGATGTACACTGTCCGAACAGCGCGTGAAACGGCAAAGAAAAGAGTGAGGTGGGCAAAGATAGTATAAAATGAGCTGGCAAAAAGAAACTCAGGAGATTCCTTCCCCATATAAACTACACTTTTCTATTTCCACTGCGCCGCCCACTTTTTTGGGCCTTAACGAATAGCCTAAACTATAACTGGGCCTTTTGGACCAAATTAACCTAAGCCCAATTTAACACCCACTTAATCAGCCCTATAAATTAGTAGCTCCTCAAGTATCAGTCCATCACTTAACTCAACTACTTCGCAACAAAATTCAATCAAAATTGATAAACCCCAAAAACAAAACCCTAATTTTTCAAAAATTGTGCATAATTTTCTAGAGTTTTGAAGAAGAAAGACGAAAATGGCGCTCTGTACTAGCTGCGCTCTTTCAACTTCACCGCTTCCACTTTCATCTTCTCGTCGCTTCTTACCTAACACTTCTCACTTACGCTTTTCTATCCAGAAGCTTCCCGAATTCTCAGGTTTGTTATTTAGTAATTTTTTCACGCTTGTTTTTGTTTGATTCTGATTTTTTCTGCTCTAAATAATTTGCCGATGTTATGATGATTTTGAGCTAATTTGTTGCTTTTCATTCGATAGTTTTGATTAAATTATATAGTTTCTAAATGTGTCATAATTCATAAATAATCCTACTACTAAGGTTACTGGCCAGTATCGAATTAAAAATCATTTTTGTTTGCGGTATTGTTAGATTCGTTGTGTAGTTTCAAAATATTGATTAGTGATATTGTCGGTCGAAGATGAGCATTGTAAACTGTAAAAAACGCAAATGCTACAATGGCTTCGGACTGAAATGGAGAGAGTAGTAATTTAATTAAGGTTACAAATGTTTGACATGCAGGAAATGTTTCTTAATATTCGATAAGATACTCATGTGTGGTATTGTTTGATTCGTTTCGATGTGTAGCTTCAAAATATTTATTAGTGATATTGTTGCTTAAAACATTGTAAATCTTAGTAAATGCAAATGCCACGAGAGTTTAGAAGCCGAGGGAGTATTAATCTGATGATTTTAAATGTATGACATGTAGGAGGTGTTTTGTCTTATCCTGATACAAGAAGAAGCAGATTGTTGTTAAGAGCAAGCTCAGATGAGACAGGTAGTAAATTTACAGAAAAGAAAAGTGATGGAGCATTTGTAACACTTGAAGATGACTCTTCACCGTCAACATTTGTAGACAATGATATAACACTTGGTAATGCTTCGCCCGTGAATGTCAATGACAAGGTTGAATCTTTTTCAGATGATGATGAAGCTTTGCAGCCGATAAAGGAGCTTTTTAATAAGCTCGACATTGATGTATGCTTTCTTTATTTCTATCACGTTTTAAGTATATTTGTTGCCTTTTGTTTGAATTGTTGTTATACTGGAGAATATCGGAAAATACATGTAATTGAAATGATGGATAAACGAGTGATTGAGTGTATGCCCCCTAGCTATACTCCGTGTTAATACATTTGTAATTAATGAAGATAATTGATGTAATATTTAATTACATGAGATGTTACAAATGAATTTATTCCGATAATGTTTTTGATAAATTTGGTAAAAGATGAAAACTAAGTATTTGTTTGGTTAACCAAAAAAAATAATGGGGGAAGTTGAAAATCATGGGAATTACAATTGTGAGTGGTCATTTGGTTAGCATTAAAAAAAATACTGGAGGAAATAGAAATTCATAGGAAATTTGGTTTCCCATAAAACATGGGAATTTAGTTACCTAATCCCCTTTGTCCATAAAATTCATGGGTATTGGAATTTTTGTGTGTATCGAATAAGTCTTGGCCATTTTGTAAGACATTCATAAGGGACATTTTTCCCTTGTATATTTCTTAGGAAATGGCCATGACTTGGTTAGTTCATACCAATGGAATTTTCAATGCCCATGAATTTCTATTGACCAAGGGGGCTAGGTAACTAAATTCCCATGTTTTGTGGGAAGTTGAATTTCTTAGAAATTTCTAATTCTTCCGTTTCTTCTTTTTAGTGCTACCCAAACAACGACCCAAAATTGTAATTCTCGTGAATTTCAGCTTCCTCCATTTTTTTTGGTCGACCAAACAAGCACATAGACTCAAAATTTTGATTTGTTTTTAAAGATTTTCTTTTGGGTCAATATACTGATTTTCTCTGGAAAGCCTTGAATTATTGCGCCTATATTGGATATTTTATCAAAATTCTTCATTAGACTTGAGCATTTCTAATGTACTAAAGAATTTATGGGCCTAAGAAGAATGGATGACCTGACACTTGGAGTGATTGTTAAAGTTGTCAGTAAATTTATGACTTGAAGTCTTGAATTAATGAAAGTAATTCGTTCTTTGCTTGCATTTCTATTAAACTCGATTTCCTTTAAGGTTTCTAGGGTGATAACACTTGGGTCTAGAAAGGTTTTGTACTGTTTTACAGTCCATATTATTTACATGCTGCCATGATGAGATTCATTATATTAATGAAAGCAGCAATGCTTGATGTTCGGTTGACTATCATGTCAATCCTGAGCGGTTACCTGAGCAGCTTGAACTTAATACTTTTTTTCCCCCTCTTTTATGCAGTTTGAGCCTTTTTACTTTAATGTTCCTGAAAATGTCCCTTTTTTCAAGTCCATACTCTGAGAATAATGTATGACTATACACTTATAATTTGCATAAATGAAATCTGTTAGCTCTTTGCTTTGAATTTCATTGAATTAGATTTTAGCGTAGAAGCACTTTTGGCCAAAAAAAGGTTTAATTTGGTTTTTTGTATTTTACATGCTGCAATGATGAATATTCATTGAAATTAATGAAAGCAGCAATGCTTAATGTCCGGTTGACAATCATGTCAATCCTGAGCGGTTACCTGAGCAGTATAAAGACACTTTATTCTTTAACATTATGCTATTTTTTTGGCCAAAATCTTAAATCGTAAAGCATTCATTTAGTTTTCACTTGCGAGATTAAAGCATGAGCAATTAGTATCACTTGCATATTTGGGTCATTTTAGGATTTTTAACTTCGTGGCCCTAGCTCCAAGTAAAAGCATTGCTAAAAACCATAGCAAGAACACAACATATGTTTCATGACATATGCGGTGAATAATATGCTTCTTGGAGCCAATGGTGTTTCACAAGTCATAAGGCATAGCAAGACTTGTTTGGGTCGTTTATGAAAGTCACTAAAATGAAGCTATTTTGCTTACTGTTGGATGTTGAATTATAACTATTTGAGTCAAAATAGAATTCATGTGATTTTATATGGTTTAAATGCTGCCATGATGAGAATCATTGAAATTTAAGAAAGCAGCAATGCTTAATGTTCGGTTGACAACCATGTCAAACCCGAGCGGTTACCTGAGCAGCGTAAACTTTGATACTTTGTTTTTTTCTGTTATTCAGCAAGCCTTTCTCCCCTCCGCGTCTTTTTTTTTTTTTTCCTTTTTAAATGTTTCCTGAAAACGCAAAGTATTCTTCAATTCCCTTTTACCGAAACTAAGCAAGAGTGTGTGGTAGGTAGTACCACACATGATTTGGACAAGTGAAATCAGTTGGCCCTCCCCACTTTAAGCTTTTAAGTGTGACAACTATCTGGATGAGAAGATAAGTTTGATTTACATGGTTTACATGCTGCCATGATGAGATCTATTGAAATCTAAGAAAGCAGAAATGCTTAATGTTCGGTTGACATTCATGTCAATCCTGAGCGGTTACCTGAGCAGCATATACTTGATAAATTAAATCAACATATTTCTCTGTCTGCAATTTTTTCTGAAAATGTATTCCCTACTTCTAATAATAATGCATGCACTTGCCTTTTGCATCAATTATTAACTACTGGTGAAATATGGCCAATTATTTAAGATTAAAACCCTGTATACCCAATTCCTTAGTAATGATACATGCAGTAGTCAATAAAGGTCTTGTTAGAAGCGTTTCAATATTGTCAAACTAGTACATTAGAGATCGTGAATGATTGATGCAACTATTTTGAAATGGAGGGGATAACACTGATCAATCTGTGATATCTCATTCAAGTATCTTCCTACGATAATATGTTCAGTACCATTCAGGATTTTTTTTTAATAATATAACCATGAAAATAACACTGACAAGATTATTTTGATTTATGCATGATTTTGTTGTGCACTCCTAAATTTTAGAACTTGGTAACATTTAGTAAAACAGTTGCAAAAAAGTGTAGCAAGAACACTCCATATGTTTTACTGAAGCATAATGATGTCCCGAGACCTTGTAATAAACTTTGTGAGCAAATCCCTAAAATTTTAACATGCTTTGCTGTCTTGTTTGAGTTATTTCTGATAACCCACTAAATTGATGCTATTCTGCTTGCAGTTGGATGTTGAAGATTCGCCGACAATTCTCCTGTATGGTGGCGGTGCCATTGTTGCTTTGTGGTTGCTTTCAGCCATTGTTGGTGCGATTGATTCTATTCCAGTGGTATGTTCCTTCAGCTAGAGGAAAATTCAATTAAATATTTAACATATACTTCGTATATATTTTCTTTTACAAAATTTGCGTTATGTCACACCTGACTCAAGTTGTATAATTACATGAACAGCTCCCAAAAGTGCTGGAAGTTGTGGGTCTAGGCTACTCAGTTTGGTTCACCACACGATATTTGCTATTTAAGGTAGTGCTTTACCTAGAACTTCATTTCATAGTGAGCCAATAAACTTGGCATTTGTCCCAAATGCTTGTTATTTTGTTATGTAACTTGGCTGACACTTTTGTTGTTCATTCTGTTTTCCAGAAAAATAGAGAAGAACTTGGATCCAAGATTGAAGAGCTGAAACAAGAAATATTGGGCACGAGCAATAAATAATGACATTTGGACTTTTGCTTATGCGAAGTTACTGTAGAGTGAGAGCTTGTTCTTTATACGAGAAATTTTTTGCATAGACAATATACTGTGAATAAGTAGGGGAAATTAGAGTTATGTATGCTGTTTGATCATACGTGAAATGAAGGTTTGCTTAGCTTTATTCGTATTCTGTTCTGGTTATTTGACAGGGTTTTTTTGCTGTTCCTGTTAAAGTTATTTTCCTTAATAGACTAAATTGTGTAAGAAGTAAGAATGGTATTGTCCATGACTATATTTTTATTGCGCCAAAGCCCATGGCTCTTGCAATGTCTCAGTCTTAAAAGCATGGGGGATGTACTGCTGATATTAAATTTTATGTCTTACGAGTAAAATGCAGCAAGTTGCCAGGGTAAATGTTAATTTGTCAGGCTGGTGCAGACATATACATAAGCCTCAAATATGAAATGATTTCCTTGACTGTGCGTTTCCAGAATCCCTCCTCTTCATCTTCAGGTATTTGGATAGAGATATTGAGGAAACTGGAAACCCCCTGTTACCTCCATTTTATGCAACCCTGAGAATATGGCGAAATCATTGCTCACTAGAATTTTAGAATAGCCCAATCTCCATTGATGCTACCAGAATTTTAGAATAGCCCAATCTCCATTGATGCTACCGCCAGAATATTTGTCTTGAAAATGATGCTGCAAGTCTCATCCCTGGCCCTAAGTATATATGTTGATTACTAATGAGTGATTAAGCTTGAACCAACTCGAAAATGAACATTTCAGGAGTACCAAGTAGGTATAAGATGTAGCTTAATATTCTCAGCATACGAATGACTGCTCTATAATAAGTAGACGAGATTTAATCTCATGTCTTAAACAAGCTGTCCACAAGCACTGAGTAATTTTAAGTACATATGCCGCTTTAAACACAGCAAGAAATGGGAGCAAGAAATGAGTGAAGTTGGATAAAGAAATGGAGACAAGAAAGAAACAAATGACAAGTGAAGAATGAATCTAAATTCAGTCAAAACATCTTTATTGTTTTGTTGGAATAAAAATAGGAAAAGGGCCCACCCCTCAAATAATTGTAAGTTGTGAAGACCCCACCACCGACTTCAATCCCGCCAAACGCTCTCCCCGCAAATCCGCTCTTCAGAAGAACCGTTAAAGGTTGCGCAGTTTTTACCTTTTCATGTCATCATCAACTCATCCCACATTTTCTCATTTTCCTACCTTTTTTTTTCGCTTTTTTTTTTCGTCAATTTTTTTTTTTGGGTAGCACGAAGGATTATTCCGTATTACAAGTAGTATATATCTAGTTTCGTTAGTTAATTCACTAATGCTTAATGCATGTTTATAGTCCTTTGCGTCTAAATGATATTATGTTCATCCGTATGAAATCAAAAATCACTTTTTTTTTTTTTTTTTTTTTTTTTGGGGTTTAATTTTTTTCGGTTTTTACAAATTGCCTATTTAACAATTACTGATTGAAAAAAATAAAATAAAAAAAGGAATTCAACTTAAATTTAATCTTGGTCTTCATAGTTTTTTTGACTAATTTTTCAATATACTAAGGAATAGGTAAGAGTTCCTAACCCACAAGCATTACGAGCAGAAAAATTAGAACTAGTTACCTCAAGGTCACAAATTCAATTCCGAAATAACTAAATTAATTGTTAAAAAAAGTAATCACATTACATTTTGCTAATAAAAACTACTTCGTATTAATCCATGATATAGTAAGCAACATCAAATAATAATTTTAATCCATAAGAGTGAGGGATAGTTCAAGTGGTTAAAACTTCTTTTCTGATTTTGGGTGATCTTGGAATCGATTCTCATCACTTATCCTTGTTTAAACACCAAAAAAAGTCAAATAATAATATTCGCAATTTTTTTAGTTACCACAGTCCACAATATTTGTGTTAAATGGCTATATTACTCATATGTCGTAATACTAGTATAATATGGATCTTTAAAAATAATATTTTGAGTCTTCAAAATATAAAAACAAGAACTGTAATATGGGATGGACTGATGAAGGGAGTAGTACATTCTTTGTTGCCAGTTTTAGCAAGTGGAAAAACATAAAAAAATCAAGAATCAACCCTCATAATAGATCCAAAAGGAGTGTATTAATTTACTCTTTTAGCTGATGACAGCACATGATCAATGTCTTGTTTCTGTATTCCACCACTTTTTTTCTTCTTTTTTCCTTTTCTTTTTCATTTTGGGTTAGAAAAAGGGGCCCTTTTCCACCTCTCTACCCTTTCCTTTTTTATAATTTTTTTGTTTCTTTTTCTTATCAACTCCTTTAACTTTTATTTTTTACATGTGCAAAGTGTAATTAATTAACTCCATATCTCATAAAAATGGAATAAAACTAACATAGAAAGAAATTAAATCAATTTTGATTATAGAAATCTTAGTTAGAGTATATCATTAACGTGTGTAATATTCCTTTATGTACTAAAAGTCTAAAACCACTCTCTCTCTCTCTCTTTTTTTTTTCCTACCAAAAAAATAATAAAAACCACTATTTTAAAGCAACTTCCTTGACTCCTAGGTAAGCCTTTTCAGTGACTTCATTCACACAATCACTCCCATTTTCTCCCTCATTTTTCTCGAATTCTTTCTGGGATTCTTGCTTACAATTGCATTGAACGATAATTTTGAGGTAAGCATTCTTATGCAAAAGTATTTATTTATTTTTTCTATTATTGGATTATTAGAGATTGTTAAATTTGCAATCTTGGGGTTTTTGATGAAATTTTGACATGGGTTTTGTTAGAATTGTGTGAATTTCATGAAATAGGTGTTTGATTTCAAGGCCATTGATACAATTTTACATGGGGGGATTTAAGAATGATGGTCTAAAATGGGTTACTAAGGTAAAAAATCATGAAACCCATGCTTTGTAATTTTATATGATTAATTTTGTTATAAAGTATGAAATGATGATGGGGTTATAGTGTGATTTTTATGAAATTATGTGAATTTTGAATCAGGAAAGTGAATTCAGAAAAATGAATTTTAGGCCTGTAGGGACAGTATCAAATGCTAAACCAGTGACTGTGAGTAGCAGAAATGGGTATGGATCAGTTATGGATTTGGAAAGTGATTCAGATGAGGAGATTAATGGTGGAAATTACTCAGTCGAGTCGTCGTCGCCTGTAGATGACATTTTCAGTAATGGGGTTGAGCAGAAGCGTACTGGTTTTGTAGGTGATAAGGTCTGTGTAATGTTTCTGGCTTGTTGCTGAATATGACTATTTGACTGCTAAATTCTGTGCATTTTGATTCCACATTGGAATGCAGTATGCTGTGACTTTAGCAGTTTCGAGTTCACGGGGCTTGGGGATGGGGGGAGGGTGGGAAACTTGAAATTTGATCCTGTTGTTACGTTTGTCACCCCTTCCTTTTCACTGTTAGTTTTTACTTCAGAGGATTGCATATTGATGAGATGCTGAAACTATTTATCTCTCCATCTATGAGCAGAAAACTGATCGATTTGCTCAAGATTGTTCATCAAGACCTGATACTGCAAATAAGTCAGACATTGTTAGAAACATCCACTCTGATGCATCAGCGATGCTTCCTAATAGAGAACCTTCGCACTCAACCTTAAAGTATGTGCTATGCCCTGAAGACTGTGTTGTTCTTTAAATGGACGGATATGAATGCTGACTTATAGTCTTATACATTGTTCTCCTCTTATTTTACAGGATTTCTGTTGATATGGATGAAGGAAGATCATCTGATTCTTCATCAGCCCGTGTACCTAACTTTCATGCTAGGTATGTTAGTGAATAGATAGTAGCAGCTGTATTTCACTGAGTAGAATATCTGCTTAGCTTCTTAAACATCACTGGATACATTATCCGATGAGTAACAGTATCAATGCTTTCAACTGGTACAGTGGTCTCAGCCCTTGGAATGGCGTGGTTTCCTATGATGCGTGTGTACGACTATGTCTCAGCTCATGGGCCAAGGGTAGTAAAGAAGCCAAATATTTCCTGAATAATGAATGTGCAACACTACGAGATGCATTCAGGTGTGTTCATCTTTGTACATGGCTTGTATTATGGTAGAGTTAGCTTTTTTGAAGTGGTCAAGGCCTCAGAGGGTATTTTTCAACGAGGATTAGGGCTCATATCCCCATAAAGTGCAGTGTTGTGTAGGGTACAGGGGACCACAGGGGGGATCAAGGATTTTCCATGCTTATGATTATGATGTTTACATCCCCTATATGAGTTTCCTAGTGTTTCTCTTTGTCTTCAAAGATGGTTTTCTTCAACCTTATCAATAAGCTAAATTATGAAAGCATGCTCTTCATTGTGAGATATGTTATGGAAATTAAGCATTGCTTTACATTATTTTAAATATGCCTACAAGATGCTCCTGTAGTCCTATATGTCATAGATTGGTTTGGCTTTATAATGTGCTAAATTTAGCCCTTTCTGGTTTCTTTGTCTTCTTTGATGTGATATGAAATGCATTGTATTCATTCTTTAAGCTATAAACTGATAACATAAAGTCGTCCTCTCTTCCCCCACTGACATATCAACTTTTATCTGGCTAGTTTGCGGCATGTACTTCTTCAGTCAGAGGAGGAGATAATGTCAAAAAGATCTTCTGAGCTAGTTAGTGGATCAGCTGCTACTAAACCAAAGAAAACAATAGGAAAAATCAAAGTTCAAGGTATATATGGATTATTGGTAGTGTATTACTAAATGATTCTATATTTTTTTCCTTTGTTTTATTGGTAGCATGAAGTTATTTACCTTGTGCAGTGAGAAAGGTGAAGATGGGTTTAAATCCACCTACCGGCTGTGCTTTTCCACAGATGCAAAAGATGGACCTTGAGAAAATTCAATGTCATGTCTCAAATGTAAAATCAAAACTAGCATTGAAATGGGAAGCTGTACAAAGAGTACAAGCAGCACGTCATATACCAAAAAATGGTTCTCTTTCAAGCAAGAGTTTGGCATATGTGAATGTTGGCGCTCAATATATGAAGGAGATTGGCGTTCTTTTAAAGAGTAGCTTGACTTCTTCCCAGACCACAGCATCCCAAGTTGTGCAAGGTATTATTGTTTCAGTATTGAAATTTTTGCATCCAAATAGCTAAATGTATGGTCTTCCTACTAGCAATTGATGGTCAACTGCTAAAAGATAATTGTCTTATTTACCCAATAGTTTGGTGTGTCTTCTCAAGCATCAAGTCTTCAAATGATTTTACCAGTAGCTCTTCTGGCATTGACTCCTCAGAGCTATGGATATAATAGTAAATGACCATAATGGATTTCTTCTTTAACTTAAT